CTTTTTTTGTTTTTTTTTTTTTTTTTTCTTTTTTTTTTTTTTTGAATAATAAGAAGAATAAAAATAAAATATGAATGGAGAAAGCAGAAAGTGGGAAACATGCGTGGGTGGAAAGATGGAACCAAAAAAAAATATGAGTGGGAAAAAATAAAGTGAGAAAAGAGGAGAGAGAGGGAGATTGAGTGATGTAAAGAAAAAATAAAGAAATAAAAGAAGAAAAGTAAAAAAATAAAAAAGGTGATGAGTGGGGTGCTGTGTATGCTCAGCTTTTCCTTTGAAAATGCAACCCGAGAAGAGATAAGAGAAAGAAGAAGAGGACAGTCGGAATTGTAGTCTCCATTTTATTTTATTTTATTTTATTTTTTTTTTTAATAATAATAATAATAATAATAATAATAATAATAATAATAAAAAAGTAATGGAAAGCATGTGACCTGGGGGTGGATAAGATGAAAAGAAAAAGAAACGAGGGGGACAAAAGGTGATGCGGGGTTGGAGTGGGGCGGTGGGAAAATAGTTTAGAATGAAAAAATAAAGAAAAAGCTGAAAAAGAGGAAGGTGGGAATCTAATAACTGATTCGAAACAGTCAATTCACTAATTCACTATCTGAAAGTTCTTTGGCTTGTGTATACAACATCTTAAGCCGTGCCAAGGAATTATCACCAGGCTTCTCAACCACCTCAGGAGTTGTTTGGAGCTTCTTGTGCATCTTGTTGATCTCGCTGAGAACGTCCTCTTGCTCTTTCCTTAACCGATCGAGCTCCTTCGAGTTGTCCATCATTCCATTAATGTCAGGCGACGACATATCCTTCTCTTTCTCTCTCTATCGATGTAGTATGATTTTGTCCGGATTGAACAACGCTAGGGATGGAGCATGGACCTCCTATCGAACGTGTTGTCGGGCTCCGGCGATTCGCCTCTGGCGGCGCTGGTGGAGAATCGGGAGCTACTGATGATTCTCACAACGTCGGTGGCGGTGCTGATCGGCTGCGTGGTGGTGCTGGTGTGGCGGCGATCGGCCGGCCAGAAGTCTTCCAAGGTGGCCGAGCCTTTGAAACCTCTGACGGTGACGACGGAGCCGGAGCCGGAACCGGAGGTCGATGACGGAAAGACGAAGGTCGTCATCTTCTTTGGCACGCAGACTGGTACCGCAGAAGGATTCGCCAAGGTTAGTTTGGCATTTTGAACTTTGTTTTGGATCGCAGTTTTTACCTTGTTTGATTTGCTGTTGTTTGGTTCTCGAGAAAATTGAATTACTTTGACTGATTCGATTGCTGTTGTTTTCCACTTTTCAGGCACTTGCTGAGGAAGGTAAAGCGAGATACGAAAAGGCCAACTTTAAAGTAATTGATATGGTGAGTTTGACTTTTTTTTCCCCCCTTTTTTTTTCGTTTTCTTTTTTTTTTTTTTTTTTTTTCCAATTGAAAGAATTAAAATTTTAAGAATAGTAGAATAGTAGATGACATATTTGGTGGAGAACTTCCATCTCAAAATGATATATCACTTAAACCTTTAAAAAATTTGACATATCAAATTTTGATTTGAAAGTTTGAGCAAAGATACTCTAATATCCTAATTTATTTTTTATTTTTATTTTTATTTTAGCCTTTTATTTTATAAAATTTCATGTATAATACGGATATTATGTTAGTATATATATATAGAGAGAGAGACAATTAACTTAGTTTAATTCAATTCTAAGGAAAAGATTCAACGATTGTCTATAAGATCATTTGCCTTCTATTATAGGGTTAAGATTTAGTACCTTTTTATTTCAAAATTTGAAATTCACTTTTCAAATTTCAAAATTTAAAATTTTAATGATTAATTTAAATTTAACTAGATTTCAAAGAGAGTGACTTTAAACACAACTTATTCATTCCTGGTACATATATTAAAAAAGAAAAAAGAAAAAAAGAAAAAGAAATGTAACATTTCAATTCTGCCATAGTTGGGATCGTAAGGGGTTGCCACCTAGAATTGCTTCAAAATCAGAAGACTAGAAATGGCTTGTTGTGTTGTATCCTCCTCTAACTGCCACCTGTTCCTACCGTCCACCCCCAACCGAGCAGAAAAACTTGGGTGAACAAAACCAAAAACAAAACCCACATCAACTTTCCTCTGAAACTGGAACTAAAACCTTGTATCAATGGACAAGATAGTGATTTCTCTAGGAGTTCACAAGAAATTCAAGAAACATAGCAAGAAGAAGGGACTCCTCAAGAAAGTAATTCACTATCTCAAGTCAGATACTTACATGTTTGCTCCCTTGGTCTCTCCTCAACCCTCTGATTTCCTACCAAGAAACACGCTTCCTACCGGTAATCATTCGTGTATATATATATATAATCCTTATATTGTGATCTTTCTATTATTTTGGTTCTCGACTCGATTTTCCTAAAATTTATAATTTTATCCGAATTTGATTTTTTTTTTATTTGTTATTTATTTATTTATTTTATTAAACTTATCCAATTCAATAGATTAAGCATAACCCAACTCTTTTTGTTTTTTTTTGTCTGTAAAAAATCCTAACCATTGAAGGGCTACCAGCGTAATTTGTCCAAATATGTACATATATACATACATTTTTCAATATTGGGTTTTGGTTTTATGTCATTGGTTAATGGGATTAACCCTCTGATTTCCTACCAAGAAACACGCTTCCTACCGGTAATCATTCGTATATATATACAATCCTTATATTGTGATCTTTCTATTATTTTGGTTCTCGACTCGATTTTTCTAAAATTTATAATTTTATCCGAATTTGATTTTTTTTTATTTGTTATTTATTTATTTATTTTATTAAACTTATCCAATTCAATAGATTAAGCATAACCCAACTCTTTTTGTTTTTTTTTGTCTGTAAAAAATCCTAACCATTGAAGGGCTACCAGCGTAATTTGTCCAAATATGTACATATATACATACATTTTTCAATATTGGGTTTTGGTTTTATGTCATTGGTTAATGGGATTTTGAAGATTGATTCAATTGAATGTTATCTTGTGGTTAGGAGTTGAGATTATGAAATCCACAAAGAAAAAGACCAGAAATTACTAAAGAAGGTTGGGGAGTACCTGAAATCTGATTGTTACATGTATGCCCCATTGATTTGTCGTAGACCATCGCATGATTTTGATGCTAACATTGTCATTCCTCCTTCTGGTACAGATTTTTTGTTTTCTGTTTCTGTTTTCTGTCATTTTCTTTTTTCTTATTTATTGTTGTTGTTAAATTACTATTTAACTAGACTTTCTGCTTGTTTCTTGTTTTTCTTGATGGGGGGTTTTTGACGGGTCACCAGGTGCTTGAATAATTGTTTCTCCTAGTGTAGACTGTTTCAATGCCACACTTAAACATGCTCTGTTATGGCCTGCTATGTGTTGGGCAACTCAATGAGATTACTCTTCTAGATATAGAGACTTTGAAGGGCCAAATGGTAAACTTGAGTTGTGATCTTGATTTAAGACAGTAGGTGGTATGACAAATAGACTCAAACCCATTTAGTATAGCTTCCTACAAACTAAAAGTTGATAATCAGAAACTAAGGCATCCCTACCTTAGCTTTCTAATAATAAGTATTTTTTTCCTAAGAGTTTATGTTTTGGGGATAATTGGTGATTTAATGTGGTATCAGAGATCTAGTTTCAGAAGGTTCTCAGTTCAAATCTTGTCAGTGCCATTATCTCTATCATTGTGTACTAGGTACTGTCTGTTGTCATACACCTTATTGTCTTGATCTGTTTTATTCTTAAAATAAAAATTTGCATTTCATGTACCTTTGCTTAGGAGATGAGCAACACACTGAAAATATATATCACTTGCTTTGGATGACTCCAAATTCTCTTGTTTTCCTTATCTCTTCATTGTATTAACAAGCCATGAAACATACACACATTCAGTAATGCTCTTAGCTTTTGCATCATATTGTCCTGCAATTCTAGCACCTAGAAAACATATCCAGAAAATTTTACGAACTACATTTATAAATGGTGCTTCTTTATCGTCTTCTAGTCAGAACTTTGAATACATGGTTGATACTGGTACTTTTTCTCAGAAATCTTTACTTGGGTTTCTATCCGAGTGCCTGTAGAATCTTCCATCTTCTTAGACTTGAAAGAAAGTGCACATATTCTTGAGATAACCTACTTGGAGTTAGTAGTCTGATGTAATTTGCAGTTCTTTCAAACAACACTCTCGTGTTCATTTTTCATCCTCCCGGGATGATTCTCTGGAGTTTCATGAGCTTCCTTTGTGTAGGAGCTTCAATATCATTTCTATTTTTCATGAAAACAAGTTGTATACCTCTTTTCTTTCGGCTTACATGTGAAAACTTACGCAGATGGATTGATCTTATTTGTGAGGATCGAGAAATATAGTTAAAGTGGATAGCTATATATATCTTATAACTGTTGTATGTAAATTCTCTTAGAAGAAATAGAGTTGGGTAGATCATGTCTTAAAATCATGGTATATATAGGAAAAAAGGTTAGGGTTTTGCCTCTCTCCAGTCACTAGTAACTTGTGAGAGGAGAAAAATTGAGTCAAAAAAGCTTGTCAGGTTCACTATACGATTCAATGACGATTATAGTGGATACATCTTCTAATTGTTGTACATAAATTTTCTCTTTGAAGAAATAGTCTTAAAAAAACAAAGATATTTGTCCAAGGGAAGAGTTTGGCTTCTCTCGAGTAAATTGTGAGAAAAAAAGGTGAGTCTACACAATATGGGGGTCTACTATGGGATCCATCCTAAATGAATTGAAATAAGGATTGAAGTGGATATATGCATTTCATAGTTCTCAATAATAATAATGATTAAAGTGGATGCCTCACATTATCTAAATTTTCTCTTCAAATAAATAAGAGTTGGGTTGATCAAGTCTTAAAAATGTGATATATAAGCAAAAGGATGTGGCTTGTTCCCGTCTGTAATGGTAATTTGTGAGGGAAAAGGTGAGTCCACACAGCATGCAGGGTCCATTATGGATCAAAGTAGATGGTTGTACATGTCCTTTAATCGGTGTACATAAATTTTCTTAGGTTGTGTTTGGTTGACTTTGACTTATTATGATTGAAAAATGTCTGTTGGTTATACTTCATGTATTATTTAGTTATGACAATTGTAATAATTAACACTACAAATGTCGTAATATATATATGGTACACCACTTTTAAAAGTGGTGTATATAGTAGCATGACCTGTATCTATACTATTATTTATACTATTACATATGTGAAGGTTCCTCATGGTGTTGATACAAATGTCTCATATTTTAGATTTTTTAAAAATATCTATATAGTTGGAGTTAATATAAAATTTATATTAAGAGGAGGATAAGACTCTAAAGTGAGATCATAGGTTTAGTGAAGATGATCCTTATCACTTGGAAAAATATGCTATATGTGTATTATTATTATTATTTTTATTACTTTTTCTTGAGTTACACACATTGCAGGTGTAAACCTCTAGTATACATATATACACTACTTTGTAATCACAATGACTAATAATTTTTTTTAATTTTTTTATTTTATTAGTGAAAGTCAGTTGTTAGTTATTAGATTAACATCTATGCGTGTTAGTCTCTCTATCATTGCAAAGCACCAAGTATTTGCCTCTTAATTTAACTCCCCCTTAAGGAGAGTTGAATTAATGACATCATCTTTGAGATTAAACCCTTAAGAGAGTTACGGTGGCCAATTATATTAATCTTAGTTGGTTTAGTGACTAATAATTGTAGGGTAAAAAGTGAGTTGCACAACATGTATAGGGTCCACTATGAATCTCACGTCACTGGACATGACAGTCCAATGAGGAGCCTTTTATGAGTAATGTTAGGAATACGAACATCAAATATAGAATGTGACACATATGTCTCACATTGGGTGGGTCCTGTATCATGTGAAACTTACATGTAAGATCTAGCTCATACAATACATATGTGTTTTATTCTATGTTTGGTATTTATATTCCTAAATTTATCCGTCTTTTTATATATACTGAAAATATGTTAACAATTTTCACATTGTAGTGAAGATGATAAAAATCTATTATTCAACTGAAATGACAAGAAATCAAACGTGTGGAACGCGGGAAGTGTTTTAGAAGATTAGAGTTGGGCCTCTAATGAGAAATTATTTGTGTGTGAAGAAATATTTTTGAAAGCATAAGTCGGTACATATTTGTAACTCGTGGAAGGACAGCGGTTGGCGAATAGCTAGGGTGGGTATCATTTTCATAGATAATTAGGGTTGTACAAAATATCACTCAATTTGTTAAAATCATTCAATCCATATCAATTTACCTGTTAACTGCAAGTTAGTTTGATTTGCGATTTAAAATTTATAATCTGTTTTTAAAATCGTTACGCTCAGTCATAATTAATATATATAATTTTTTATTTTTAATAAAATATCAAAGTAAAAATCAGTATGAGAGAGATATGAGATATGAAATTTGGAGCAAAAAAATTTACCACATAAATTAGTCTACGGGCCTTGGAATTGGATCTGTACTTCCACGAGTCAAACAAAAAAATGTACTTTTGTTGGAACAAAAGCCTTGGGCTAAGGCCTCATTTGTTTTAGTTCAAAAGTAGTAGGATTGAATTAACAATTTGGTGAATTTCACATAAATTATGTTTGTTTTGCAGCAATGTCATACCATCGAACTACGAATCCCTCCCCCCCTTCCAAAGGGTATTGGCAATCCCATGGCATGGTTAATTTCACAATCCAATGTGGGATTGGAGGTGAAAAATTTATTATATCCCACTTTATAAAAATAAAAAAATTACATTTTCATATATATTGAGAACTTTTATGTAGATTACTACTACACAGACAAAAACAATTTGTTTTACATTTCAAACCCAATACCACCATAGTAATAATCCCCTCAATCTTCATAGTCCCAACCAACCGAACTTTGAAAACAAAACGAGCCTAAAAGTCCCCTGAAACTATTAATACCCTCCACGAAAGTGATTAAGAATTCTATGGAGAGGTGAGATTTCTATTATAATCACTTCCAATCATATGAGATTAGTGGTTAAAAGACTATCTTTTCTTTCATTTTACAAAAACAACAAAGTCGTCTTTTATATAATAAAGACTTTTGCATAATTTCACACACTAGTCCCAATCACTTTATAGAACTACACTGTGGTACAACTAAACATAATTTATCTTTCATGTTTAACTTCATACCATCACATTAATAATCTTTTCACTCAATCACATTGTATATTCATAATCTCATCAAACTAACAAACACATTTTATCTTACGTCTTTAACTTAATACCATCATATCAATAATATATTGTCACTTAATCACATTGTATTCATAATCTCATCAAACTTAATTTAGTAAACAAATATATATCACCTATAAAATGAGTATAAATGAATATATACATATATATATATATATATGTATTTTGTAGAATTATCAAATCAATTGCAATCTTGGTTATGTCCAAGAACTCCCACATTGATCAACGTGGCAAGGGGTGGTTGTGAAACATATTGAAGGTGTTGTCATATCTAATGAATTTTCAATAATAAGTTGGTTTGTTTGCATTTGCATATGGGTTGGTTCAAAACTTATGCAATTCCCATTGACATGAAAGGTGCTCTTAGGTGAGAGGTAATGATGGACAACATAACCATGAATGTATCTTCCATATGTTTCACTGTTTGTGTAATAGGCAGTTGTCCAAGTAAGAGCCAAGTTCAATGTTTGTCTATTTATGTATAGACATGATTGTCTAAAATAATGCATGTGCTTGTTCATATAGCATAGTCATTCTTGTTGGAAAAATACTTTTTACACAGAATTTTTGTACACAGAATACACATAAACGTTCACATGTATAGGACGCACCCTCATGTGAGAACTTCTATGCATTTTGTGCACAGAAATCATATGCATTTAAGACTGCTATTCATATTACTTGTTAGAGGGCTCGCCACTGTTCGTCAGATTGTGATAACCGTGTTCCGTTTTATGTTAATTGGTCCTTATTATAAATATGATTATGTGATTGACATGATTTTGTGTGCCATTATGTGAAAATATGTGGTTTTGAATTTCTATCTGTTTACCGTAGGCATATCTGTGTGATTATTTGCTTTGGAAATTAAATTGAAGGCCTTATCGGCCACGGAAACCGAAATTGGTCGCGCCATTGTGATTGGCGTAATTTTTAGAGCCTACGGTGAAATTTAATTAAAAATTGATTTGGACCAGATTGAATTGATTAAATTGATGAATTAGTGCCCAATTATTTATTATTATTAAATTGGAATTAGTGGGGCTTTATATAAAGGGCCATATACACTCTCATGGTTTCTTTTTAGAGCTCAAAATCTGAGATATACATTTGAGAGGGTGAGAAGGCCGGCTATAGAGAGAGAGAGGGGGGATAATTGTGCAATTTTGGCTCAAAGCTTGAAAACCTTGAAGATTTCTCAAGAATTTGCTATAGATTAGGAGAATTAAAACTCCTAGGTGAGTATTTCATGGATTCTAGTTTGTAATTTTGTGTATTCAAGCTAGTTGGGTAATCAAGAGTAAGTTTGACATGAAATTGGGTTGGTCATGTTGAATTGAAGGTCAATGTATGCATGCATGTGTGTAATTGCTTTGAAATTTGCATGTTTGAACACAAAAATATGATCCATGTAGAATTGTGGCTAGAATCCATGCTTGTGACCACCATTTGTACAAATTGAGTTGAAATGGAAGTTATATCTCACATGCATGTACCATTCATAAGAAGTATGAGCTTGAATGCATGAAATTGTTATGTTGAAAGTGAATTTGGTGTAAATTGGGACATGCATGTGATTAATTTGTGAAATTGAGCTCCATTGTGTTGTAATTTGGTGTTGGTACCATGTTAGTATATGATTATGTGAAGTTTGAGCCAAAAGCATGCATCTAGAACCATTGAATGTCGAATTGGAGCTCAAGAAC